CATGTTTCCTAGAGCTCAAAACAGAGGATGCTTCAAAAGTTGTCTTTAATGTGAGCGAAAGGAAAAATTGGCAAACAAGAGTGGCAGAAGTCGTATATGTCAAAGATTCTGACCACGCATCGTGTAGCTGCAAGAAATTTGAATTTGTTGGGATTATTTGCAAGCACATCCTAGCATTGTTCAGAAGGGGCCAGATTGAATATATGCCCGATAAATATATTTTGAAAAGGTGGAAGAAAACTGCGAAAGCTGGATTGGTGTCAGATGCAAATGGCAACGAAATTAAAGACTCTGCAGATCCTGGTCTTTTAATAAAGCGGAGTACAATGTCCCGACTTGCTTCAGATGTGGTTGAGGATGCATTAATGTGTGAAGAAGGATGTGAGCTAGTGTCAGAGACTCTAAAAAGTTTGCGGGTGAAGTTGAAGTTGTTGAAGGATGGACCAAGTAATAACGAAGTTGGAGGGTCTAGCTCTCAAACACAATATATGAAAGACCCTAAGAGAGTAAGGTGCAAAGGAAGGTGGAAACAAGTAACGGGAGCAAAGGAAAAGCCAATGAAGCGAGGGATTCGACACTGTCGGGAGTGTGGAGACATTGGTCATGATAGAAGACAATGCCCAAGAAATTTGAACACACCGTAAGATGTTAAAACTATTTATAATAACACCTAAAATTTGAATAGTTAAATTTTTTATGTGCTTGTGTTTGGTGTTTATGCAGGACATCACCGTCAAACAATGAGGAATCAACTCCAATAGATCTCAGTGACCCATTATTCGACGAATTTTACAGGATGCACGGACCTACCGAATGATTTATGTTTGTATTATACAAAGGCCGGTTGTTATGAAGGCTAATGATCAGGTTAAGTTTTCTATATGCAGTTTTATTTTATTTGTTTGTTCATGTCCACTGCTAATTGAAATGGAAATTTGGTTGGTTTACTTCTTGCATGAAATTTGGACACATGTTAATTTTACATGTCTTCTCCCTATTTGGAAATTTTCATAGACATTTGATAAAGTATCAAATTTTGAGTTTTGTGAAGAAGCAATGACTTTTACCATGTACAATGGGTAGTTTATGCTGAATTATGAACGAGTGACACAGATTCATTGATTATATCACAGGGTAATGTAGCATTTCCAGCAGGGAGCTGTTGTTTCCATCAGCAGTAATGATTTCCAGCACGAATCATTTCTAGCAACACTAATCATTTACAGCAGCAACCAATTTTTCCTAATGTTATGTTCTAGTGCTTGACTGATTATTAAGATCTAACCTTGACTATGAAGAAATATTGGTGCACGATTTTGTAAACATTCGTACCTGAAGGATACTTGAAATTTGCACTATGTTAGAACACAATGATTAGAAATCAGCGTGTAAAATACAAACTACAATACAACATCTTCTATGCATGATAAGTACATTGCAGCTAATCACATTTCGAATGCTTGGAGAATATTAAAGTGTACACCAACATTTCAACTACTCGTAATTTCGCACACACAAGAAAATTACATTGCAAAGCATTTTATGTGCTCCCTCTTAGCAATATCACGATCACCCCAACCAACTGAACAATGGTAGCCATATTCACTCGGTCGTATGGGTAAGCTTTTTCCGAGCAGCTTGCACGTGCTTATGGTCACTCGTGTCCCCACTCATATAGACGAAATAAATATTCAGCAATATTTGTAATATTTTGTTATATAAATAACCCATAAATCATTCACCAAAGAATGTATAGCACATTGGCATGTAAAGTGAATAAGGAGAATGTTACTTATGACTGACGTGTCAATTTTTTGAAAAAAGTACGCCATCTGTTTAATGTGAAGGGACATGATAATGAGCATTGACACTTCATCTTCCTTACTGAATTCCCTGTTTCATGGTTACGCTATATTAGTATTTTATTATTATTTACCCTACATTATTATTATATTACTTTTTAGCCTGTACATTTGTTAATTATATTTACTCGAAATTATTATTTTTATTGTTATTTTGAGTGAGAATAGACCATTTCTGGTGTTAATCAGTTTCTCTCTTCTTCAATTTGTTAATTTTTTTTTTTCCTTTATTAGGGTGAAGGGATGTTTTGAAAAATAAAAAGAACAAATTACATTCCAAGTATTGTATAACATCAGAGAAAAGTCCATGAATAACCCATTATTTGTATAGCTTAATTTACTGCATCCAAACATTTCATTCATTCATACAAAATTGATGAATTACTGACGACTGACATAATGGTCCCATAAGATAGTTTTACATTGCAAGGCATATTATTTGGTCCCTGTTAGCAATACCACGATGACCCCAACCAACTGAACAGCCGTAGCCGCAATTAGTCAGTCGTATTGGTCGGCTTCTTCCGAGCAGCTTTGACGTGCTTATGCTCACTCATGTCACCACCATCGTCTAGTATCTCTCTCAGAGCATCAGGGGATACATAGTCCCAATTATAACTTGTATGAGTAGTTGCCGCAAATGCTCGGAAATTTTCGAATCCTTCGTTGAATGCCATCTCCAGTTCACTATGGTGCTCTTCGCATCGCATATGGTTCATCAAACAACCTTTAATTTCTTCATTCATTACTGTATCCAACTCCTCTGCTTTCAACTTCCTTGTATGACTCAACTTCAAGTACTTGTTCTTTTGGGAGAACGCTTTGTTAACTCTAATGTTAAGATCAGCCAAAATGGCCTCGTCTTCATGTATTGCCTCTAATGGATCATCGGAGTCCCCTTCACTCCCAAATGATGTTGAAAATGGAAGGGGTCGGCGAGTACAACGTGGAAATGGAGCCTGCAACTCCAATTTTTCATATTCGACTGTGTTGTTGGCGCCTGAAGAGGATGACATGCTTGAATAATCCTATTTGTTTTTAGAGGATGAGGATTGCATATGCAATTTCGTTTGAGGAAGGGGACATAGCTTTATAGACCAACATACTAAAGCTTGCGTGTAGTCAACATATGTACTTTATTTCAATTTTTAAAAAGAGGTGTTAGGTTTTGCTTTTCAAGCATGTCAACCTCATTACACCACTGTCAGTCGTTGAAAGAAACTCAATGGCAGTGACATCTAGTTAGTGAACCCAACCACAGTGGTTAGGATTAAACTTAGATTGTATCAGACAAAAAATTAATTTATACATTGTCAACCAAATATTTTTTGGCGGGAACCTTTTTATTGGTATTACTATTACATCCTTCATAGAAACTCTCCCTCCACGAAAAACTGACTCCTCCACCGAATCTCTCTCCATCTACTGAAACTCTCTCCCTCCATAGAATGGATTTACTAACCAAGTTTGATGTCAGCATAATAAACACCCCTCCAAACAAAGACCGCCTTCGACACGCAAGTGAGTCACCAGACAAGCAGTGTCACATTCCTAGACAGAATGACCATTTTGTTGGAAGTTTTGAGTCTGAAAGGGTTCTTGGATTCTGGAAGGAGAGGCATCTTCAACTTGGTGATGAAATCCAAAGGGCAAGGGCACGTTTGGAATTTGTTGAAGGCCAAATTGAAGATGACAAAAGGCAGGCCAATCTGGATAGGGCGAAGTTGCAGCGCATGAAGCGTAGACACAAACGACTTCGGAGTGTAGCTGTTCAAAAATATAAGAACTCATCTAATGCAGTGGAGTCAAAGAAGCGTGTGATGCAAGCTGGATTCGACTACTTCCGGTCCTATGCAAAACTCGTCGTACCCGGGTTTGATTGGTCATCTATTACCTTTTCCGACGTTAACAAATATACTCACCAAGGGAAGTAACCATTTTGGTTATCGTGTTTGAGCATAGGCAAATCAGTGGAATTGGAATTTTCGTTCAACTCTGCTTCAAACCTATTTTGATGCTTACTATTATGGAAGATTTCAACCTTCATATTTTGATGTCTTTAATGATTAGAACACGTGATGCAACGTGGCCATCTACTTCAGTCATATGTTGTTGCCATGTCCATTTTTGTGTGATCACGTATCAGATTTGGACATGGTTGCATCATATGCAATGTTGCCTTTATTTATTATATGTTAGGGCAAGGTTTATGGAAAAGCATTTGTGAGTGCGTTTGTGACAAGGTTATGTTATTATTTTTTTGTATTGGTTCATCTCCTACTATTGTTTTCTTCCTTTATATTATATGTTTGTGGAATCCCTCAAAGTTAACATATACTGTGAAAAAAGTGCAGAGTGAATATATAATCACTTATATAGACTAGGACAAATATTCACTAATATTTTAAAATTGCTTGAGTGGTGTGAGGTTTTTCAAAAAAGTATGGCATTATTTTATGTGATTGGACATGATGGATATTTTGTACTGATTCCCGATGGACTACTTATTGAATACCTGTGACGGTTCATAACTCTAGACGCAGTTGCATATGGACTACTTATTGAATACCTCTGACGTGTTCAAAGCTCTAGGCGCAGTTGCAATGATGGCTTCAAAGTAGTGTGCAATTATTATATATGTACATTATTATAACAAAACAAAAACAGATTATGTTACATCCTTATATTTGAAAGGAAACTATTTCTTGTCTTATTACAAATTATATAACGAATATTAAGGAAATATACTTGTTAAAGTGAACAAACATATATACTTAGGGTTAAGAGGAAAGTCAGTTCTCTGAAACAATTTGGATTTTTTCATTGCGAAATGGATGCTTTATAGGTTCCTCTAGTTTTATAACGTCACAAGGAGGCCGGAGTAATTTTCGGGGCATTTTTACGATTTTCCGACTATTTCTTACAATTTGTTCAAGTTGTTTGCACTAAAAAACCCCAAATAATCGCAAGTTGACATATGGTGCGATCTCAGTGCATACCTTTCACCACTTGCACAAGTGTACGTCAGTTGCAACCAAACATTCTTGCTTTTTACCCTAAATTCTTATTTTATTGTTTTGCCTTACAAAATTCATAACTAAAAACACAAAAATGATAAAAAAAACTTCCGAAAATTGCTACAAATTCATTGAGGCTTCATCTTTCTTACTGAATTCCCCGTTTCGTGGTGACGCTAAATTATTATGATATTATTCTTTACCCTAAATTATTATTATATGACTTTTTACCTTTTATATTTATTAATTTTATTGACCCTAATTTTTTTTTTTTGTAATTTTGTTATGCGAAAAGACCATTTCAGGTGCCAATTAGTTTATCTCTTCTTCAATTTCTTAACTTCTAATTTTTATTAGGGTTAAGGGATGTTTTGAAAAAGTAAATGAAAAAAATACATGTC